GATACTTGAAGGAAGTGCATATTTTAGTTGTAATGGGAAGTCCATGCATTCAGATAACAAAATCAGAAGCTTGCTAAATTTAAGCTGATGAGAATCTTCACTGAAGTTCATACACTGTGCATGTTCAGGATCATTCTCTCTCATCTGTCTGCTGGAGAAAACCACCTTCTATAAATGTGTTTTTATCAGATATGGTTTTAACATTTTCAGTACAGCACAACCTTAACAGTTGAGGAGGATTCACTAAGAAAACCAATTTGTTTTGGGTTTTGGATATTTCTGGAATCAAGATGTTTAAATTACTTTTTCTTCTTTTTAATTTTTTAACCTTTAGACATGGTCAAATAAATGTCAGTTTTCGCAAAACTTCTGGTGCTGAAAGCAAGGTATGAAACATCCATAGACATTTATCTCTTCCTATAAACCCACACCTACCAACTGAATACACTACCATATTTTTAATGTTTAGCCACCTGGCATGTATACAGGCCACTGCGTTAAGTATGATTTTGTTATAGCTGACATGAGGTGCAAGTTTATACACAAAAACACTATACCACTTCTGTGACCACCAGCTGACACCAGTATATTTCTGGGACATAATGACTTCAGCTCTCTGGAGTAAGATCAGTAAGCAACTAATGAAAGAGTCCTGTAATAAACAGACAAGGTGAGACAGTGACTACACACAGGAGATCAAATTGTACCTCTGGGGAATACTGTACTTTATCCAGATATCTGGTGAGAACAGAGTTATCTTTATCGCTCCTGGTCATGTATCTTCCTGAGAAACTCATGAACATTATTTTAAAACATAATTCTGTTAATATTGGATTATAAGGATACTACCTGTGCTCTCCCTCTCTCCTGTGCAGACACCCTAATAACTTTGGGTTATAAGAGCATGCTCTACATCTTAACCGTCTGCCTGATTGCATCATGCACTTGATCTCAGTCCTAAATTCATGCTGAGGTAAGTGTGCTTTTACAAAAGTTCTTCCTCAAGGGAGTCAGTGAGAAGCAGTGTGGCGTCATCATTACCTTGCCATTCTCTCATCTCAGTGTCGAGATTTGCAAGATGAGATTATAGCTGAGACAAGCTGACAAGTTTTATTCCACGCATTTAATGGAGAGGTGATTCAGAGGTGATATTAATGACACTCATCTGTGTCAAGGCTTCAGATGTCAGGTCCTCCCACAGAAAAAAAACCCCAAACAACTAAATAAGCCATCAGAAAAGCAATGAGGAAGGAAGCCTAGAAGACTGGCTTTGTCCACCTTTGTGAGTCTGACGCAGCATCTGTGCTAGGACTGTCTTTGGAGCGGTTATGGATAAGGCTACAGCAACAGGAAAGAATGAATAAAATTGGTGGAGCTATGGAAGACAGTTTCACCCAGTGACTGCAAACCATGGCTGAGGTTAGCATTTCTAAGTGGGAATCTCACTGCTATTACAGGCAGTGTAGTACCACAGGTCACATCTTGGACAATGGCAAGTATTGACTACAGCAGCAACTGCTGTGTTAGCAAAAGGGAAAAAGCTAGCGTTACTGAAAAGTCTATCAGAAAATATCCACTAGCTGCCTCAAAGATGATAAATTTAGGGTCTACATACCAAAAAATACATTCTGCAACAGTGAAAAACATAAAAACAGCATTCAAGTTTCCAAAATATTTTCCAGTGCTAGGATGATTCTCACATGTTAAGGGCTATAAATTATCAGATGAAAGTATTAGTTTCATTAATGCAGAAGCATGAACAGGTACTAATCAACATGATTCTCTTTTTCAGCCAAAAGTTGATATGTTTGCTATTAAACTGCTTATTATACGACACTATTTAGGACAGTATTTTTAGTATTCTTTCTGTTTAGGAAGGAAATTATTGTGATAAATGTAACAACTGACAGTGACAACTGTCCAGTTTGTCATTTACCTGGTGACTGCATGGCAAGACAGCTTCAGTTTCATGTCAGGTGTACCACTTAGAAGAAAGTATTTATCTTTTAGTTTACTCTGGTCATAAAATACTACAATATTTCATGACATAACTCTATCGTGTCACTCTCCTGTGGCAACACTCTGCACTCAGCATCTGTTTGATGCTGAAACTGGGACAGAAAATGAATTCTCAAAAGAATAGTGCACTGTTATATAAAAATATGGACATTAACACTCAATATTGCACTGTGAATCAAAACAGATACTATTATGAACATACTTAGCTAGGAACAGGACCGGTTCTAACTCTGTAATATATTCAAAACTGGGAGAAGCTTGATGAATTTTTATACAATCAGAAGGGAAGAGGTTCTTGATGCTGTCGAAAATAATTCCTGTCCCTCAGTTCCTTCTCATTAAATTGTCAATTGCCTGAACTTCTTAACCCTGTGATTCTATATGAGAATTAATAGGAATTTTGTAACAAAATGGAGGATAATTCCTTTATATTTTTCACATTTACTGCACCAAAAATACAATATATCAAAATTAGCATCTTCACTTTTTTTTTTTTGAATGCAAAAGTTCATCAGTATTTGCTGTTTAGCTTCTCACGGGGTCTTACTGAAAAAACTGCATTTCATCTCACAGTAATACCAAGACAAACTTGAACAGCTCCTTTTACGTTTTTAAAATTGTAATGCAGGATTTTGTCTGTCATATTTTACTCCATGTATAACTTATACATGCCTACACGTTACTTTTATCAATGAGAACATATATATCTCATCAATAGGCTATCTTCTCTTTTCCAAATAGAGAGTGAGGACACGCTTTTTAGTGAATTTATTTTAGAAAGAGAATCACAAGTGTGTGTTATGACTTGCTGCCAAGCAAGCTAGATATTTGTGTTTCAATCTAGATGAAACTACAGTACTAAATTTGCTAGGCACAAGTACATGAAATCCAATATTGATAATAATTTATGAAGGTAAGAATACTGATTCCTATAATACTGCAAACTTAGTTTATGATAACATAATTAGTTACACTAATAACACTGCTTAGGCACAGTCTTGCTAATTATGATATTATAAATATTAATGATATCACGCCTTTGTATTTGATTGCCCCTAGTAGGAGCATTTATCATGGTATTTCGTTTTACCCGTGTTGTATTATTTTTCTGCTTTTCCCTTGAACGTCCATTCCTGGACAAATACTTAGCCATCCTGAGCTTATGCTTAAAATATATCAATACCTTATCAGTGATGCAGCCTGGTTAACTTTATATGTTATTATTTAGTAGCAATGATCCAATGTTATAATTCAGTGCTAAGGGCAATCAAATACACAAACAGTTATATTCTGTATGCCTTGTTCTTTTTAAATGTCTAACAGACCCAGCCAGACAAGATTACACAGGGCTTTGTTTTTCATTCTTTTTCATGTGACCCGTTTCAAGTTAAGATTCCTTTGAATTATTAAACGCTTCCTTAAAGCATCTTTTCACGCTACCTTTTTAAAGTTAATTATTGATGTAGTGACAAGCAGAAAAGACTAAGAATTATATTTTTTTCTTCTCATTCAAAAGGACATGAGAAACACCCTTGACAATGGTTGTCTGTTTAGTAAAATACAAAGGTAATACAAAGATAGAACATTGAATGGAGCTTTAAAGAAGAATTACAACAAATCTCTGTACATGAGTTGGAAATGCTGTGTATGTTTCTACAGGTGTTAAAGGAAGGAAGTTTAGATATAACCCTTTGAGCCTGGTTTAACTGCTTAACGTAAGTAGATGAAAATGAAACTGCTTATATCTTGTTTTATTTTTAAGCAGCGTATTATCCAGAGCTTTAGGAATAGGATTGTCTTTTCTCCTGGAAGGTAATGTTATAATTTTCAGAGCTCCACAGAGAACAACAACAATATAGGAGTCTCTAATCTCCTGCTAAATCCAACTCCAGTCATCAGCAACGATAAGCAGAGATTTGGAGGTGTTTGACACTCCAAATCCTATTCTTTTGTAATTCTTTACTTTTTACAACATTTTCAACAGTGTTATATCAGATTTTTGGAAGGATAATCAATAGGCACGGTGTATAACAGAAATCAGTCTTCAAAGCGATCCCCTCTAGTAACCAGAAACAAAAGCTCAGCCTTCCTGCTGTGCAGGTATTTTGCTTAGAGCAGTAGGCAGCAGGGCATCAGTAGGAAGCCAGTTACACCTCCCTGCTTCTCAGCATGGATCAGCTGGTGCCCTGGTGGAGGGGTGAGCAGTACTGGGGGTGGCTGCAACCCATTACATCTGGCAAAAATCTCCAAGGATGCTTTTGTAGCAGGGAACTACTACAGCAGAGAGGAAAGACAGCCCAGAGGTTAGGATTTCAGACCACAGTTGACATTCCTATTCCACCACAGATCTTCTAGGTTTAAATGATCTTGCGGAATCTGTTAAATTATTCAGTGTCACTGTTCCTCATCTGGAACTTCGCTGCCTTGCAGAGGGTTTGGGAGTCAGCACACATGAAACACCATGAGATGCTCAGGTATGATGATCGAAGGGCCACTCCTACCTGATCTAGTGTTCCAAGTAACAGCTGGTTTGTGGCAAGCTGTCTCAGCTGGTCAGGTCCAGTGCTAGGGAGCTTTCATGTTTCCTGGATGTGGCACCCTGGCTGGAACACCCAGGAACTTCTGGCACAATATTAGTAGCATTCTGAATTGAGTTGAGTTTCTTTAAAACAAGCAGTTCCAGAACTTGTTCCAATGCATTTGTAATTTTACATCCTACACTTTTTTTAAAGACATTATGTTATGAATCACGTGGAGAGATCATATTTATAGCAAAAACGTTATCCCGTATCAAGTCATCTCAAGTTTGTCTTCTTAAGCTGCCTTCAGATATTTGTTAATACTCAGTAGGAAAAAGACTTGGTGACTAATTGTGACAGCAGCAGTGGTTACCCAAGGTAAGAAGCATACAATCATTATGGAATTGCATTCAAAACCAAGACATAGTGTCATTATACAGGAATGGTAATGAAACAACATACCTTTCCCATCAGATCAGCAATTCTAGGTACTGGTTTTCCTTTCTGATGACACATGGTTGCAGGACTCTGTCCATTCCATTCTTCAAGTTCCTCAATGCTTTTCAGGTAAAGAAGAGCTCGCAGTCCAGTGCAGTAGTCATCAATAACAGTGAAATCTTGATTCTGGATTGCACTGCACACCTATAAAATACAAGTCAGTTACCAGCAACATCCTCGCAGAGGAGCATATGGAATTAGCAAGCTCTTTGGACTTACTGATTATCATATACCCTTCCTGCAACTTCACTGGGAAAGAACTACAAGAATTCAGGATATTAATTGGCTGCTTAATCCTATGTCATGATATCACCACTGCAGTTCAGGAAAAAAAGGACTCAATAACACTAATTATGCCTAGGTTTCCTAATGGCAGCCCTTAGACCAGACCTGAAGGCTGTTGAGAAGTAAGCCTGCAAGCTCAGCCCCAAGTGTGCCTTCTGGGCCGCTGATGCTGAGCATGCCAAGCACACTGGCAAACCACCAGCTATGCTCAGACGTTTGCCTGCAGACACACAGTGGTATTCCCCAGCCTACTCTGTCAGGAAGCACAGACATATCCAGTTAGGCCCCAGTCAAGCAAATCACAGAACCACAGACTTGCTGAGGTTGCAAGGCATCTCTAGAGATTGTCTTGTCCACCCTTCCTGCTCAGAGAAGGGTGAACTAGAGGAGGCTACCCAAGACCATATTCAGTTGGGGTTTGAATGTCTCCAAAGACAGAGACCTCTCAGGGGAACCTGGTCCAGTGTTCCATCTCCCTTGCAGCTTTTTCTTATATTTAAATGGAATTTCCTGTGTTCCAGTTTGTGCCCATTGCCTCTTGTCCTTTCACTGGATAGTCCTGAGAAGAATCTGGCTCCAACAAAAGTGTCTCAGCAAACAGCACCCATTAAGCTGAGCTGTTACTATGCGTGAACATTGCCAGGCACAAAACTGAATGGTCCACTTCTGCTAATCACCATTTGCCATTCAGTGGTACTGGGAGGCCAGGCCACTTTATTTTAGATACTGTAGAAACACAGATAGCAATATAGCTTTGTAAACATATAAAACAATGATCCCTGACCTGCAGAGCCTAACATGTGAACACAAAACTACTGACAGCAGAGAACAGCCTCATCATTTACATGGATACTTCTGGACCACATTGTGGGTATCAACTCAGATTTAAACCCACAGAGATCCCCAACCAAACTGACAAGTGAATAAAAAATTCCCGACTCTTCTCTGAACATCTTCTCATTAGCTAAATTCTAATCATCCATCAGTTATGAGGTGCAGGCTTGGTTGAGTACCATTAATTGTCAGTCCCTGGAAATGCTCTGAAATTCCAGATGTGTCAGTGTTTTCAGCCTCTGATTCAGCTTTTATTCTAAAAGCTAAAAAGAATGCTCCTGATAATACCTACACTTACATACACACATAATGAACACAACAATGAAATAGCCACCTATTTTAGAACATGAATGTGTGCATGTGCACAAACACATCCACACTCCTTGGACACGAAAACATGCCTTGGATCATAATTGACATTCATGCTTAAAAAATACAGGAATTGTTTTTCACATTTCAGAAATTATAATAAAACTTGCAATTCTGAAGACAGGTACACATTACAGTGTAATATACCATATACTACAGCTATGCAAGTTAAAAATAAGGGCAAACTATCAAATAAGCACAAGAACATTTTCTATACAGCACACGTACGTTACACAAAATCTGTTTCTCTGAAGAAACAGTGTGGGCATTAATTAGGTCTGTTACACCTTCCACAGACTTCAAGAGGTTTTTTTTCCAGAGCAATTATAAAGAACATCATAATAATTTCCTGTACAGGTTATTTAACTGCAAAACTCAACTGATGCTTATTTAAGCCTTTTTGTTCATCAAGGGATTCTCTATTTTTTTAGTGCCTGGATAACACTTTTATTAGCTGTTCTTAAAAATACTAAAACTGTAAAAAAATACAGGTAAAAGCCATGTCATGTCACTTGAAACAAGTTCAGGCACTGTTGTCAAAATCCTGAAATATTTTGACAAGATATATACACATGAGATACACTGGAGGATACCTGTAATAACCTTAAAAATAAGGAGGCTTTTACTGTTTTCCATCTTGTGGTGCAGTGTTATGAACTGCAATAATATAAAAATGTGCAGAAGATGATATCACACTAAGAGCTAACATTTGATCCCTGTGAATCTATGTGCAGTGCACTGTTTGCCTTCCCTAGAAAGCCAAGTAGGTTGCAGAACCAAAGGCAAAATGCAATTTTTAAAGAAAAATGTAAATCTCTGCACTGAAGAAAAATGTTATCTGAAATGGAAAGACTTAGACACAGAATTAGCAAGTGGTTTCAGACGATCCTCCTCTTCTGTAGGAGCCTTATGACTATGGTGCCCAATGGTGCAGATAATTAACCAAAGATATGCCTTTCACTGATTTCACTGTGATAAAAGCAAGTGCTTATGTTTATGGGCCTTTCCTACAATAAGAGAGATTCAAACATTAACACATACAAAACCAACATGCTTTTGGCAAATTCCAAAACATTCTGAGCTTTGAAATTTCTTATGTTGCACATAGCGGATGGCGAGATTTGTGTTTTAGGCTTACAGTGTCTTCCACGAATCAATGTAGAAGCTTTTGCTGCATTTCAAAAGGTGGTGAACAAAGTCAAGATAAAAGGTCACTCTGACCCATCAGCCATGACAATTTCCACACCACAGAGAGAGGTTTTTAGCATCATACCTGGCTGCCTCTGAATCACCAGTTTAAATGACACTATGCCCTCTTTTCAGTACAAGAGAAGTGGCAGGGCAATAGACCAGGTGAGACTCAAATTCATGCATCCGGAAAAATTGCAGAAGAACTGAACCGACCTGTCTCCACACATCATTAATGCCCTGCTTCGCTCCTGCTGCTTGCACTGGGAACAGGCATGCTTCCCCTCCCTTGCAAAGTGAAACCTTGAGCCGCCTCTTCTGCTGGTATCTTATTTTATGGGTCTGAAGAGCAGGAAAAGCAGGAAGAGCAGTCCAGCTATGGCCATATTTAAAATGGAACTACCTTTTGATTGTTACCCCTTGTCATTTAATGTCTTACTGAACCACCTCAACAGGAGATAAAGGTGAGCAGGGTGCTGCTGTACAGCTGTTACCCATGCTTTGCACACCAATCAGAGCAGCAGCATGAAACTGAACTGCATCCAGCCCTCCCCGCTTAGCTCCTCTCCTCAGCATCATGGTTTTACCAACCAAACATAGTAAAATGTGATTCCCTTTAGACCCTGAAGCAAAAGTCTGAACAACAATAGAACTTCACAACTGAGAACATACACATGGTCATATTGTGCCAGACCAGCAGTCTGTATCCTGTGGCCCACAGAAGCCGCTTATGGATGAGTATAAGAAACAGAGCAAGTGTAGATCAGTTGCTCACATGGTTTATCAGCCCAGGTTCTGGCAAGCAGTAGTGCTGGGACTTCACATGGCAGAGATGACACCTGTTTAATATCCCTTGATCCTAAATAATGTAAGTGAATCTGTTTTATGAGTAAATTAATATTCAACTGTTCACTAAGCCAGGCTTTCACATGAAACATTTAGGTAGAAAGTAGTTTTTTCTTCTTTGGAATATGAGAGAAAAGCCCTGTGAGCAACCTATGGGACAGAGTGAGGTCCAGATCACAGTGAAGCTGTTAGCTGTGCTGCTGACAAGTGCAGTTCTGCTGCCTTGGCTGTGTTTCTCTCTAGCTTTGGACTAGAACTTGGGCTAGAAGAGAAAGCTGCTACATTTTTCCTGCTTCGAAAGGTAACCTATATTATTCATATTGCACCAATATACACAGAGATAATTTTGCATGAACTTGGTTTTACTGCACTGCTTGGCTCTGCCTTGGCAGTAGAACTGCTACAATTTCATTTTTAAGATCTGACCTTCTCCCCTTTCCTCCAGGTCCACACTCCAACGATTGCCCCTTATGTCCCAACAGAGACAAGCAGGCCAACATGCTATGTATTATATTGTGCTCTCAGTATTCTAAAATCTAAAATTGTTCAGTATAAGTTGCAACTGTAGGTTACAATTCTAATCTATACAGACATGTCTGAGATACTAGAAGACACAATGCCTGCTTTGCTGCTGGTAAATCAAACATACACCAAATGATCTCACTGGGGAATGGGGATGTGAAATGAATCACAGGCTAAGGCTCTAAGTAAAACTGTTCTGCAAAATGCAATGATGGGAGAGGCATGCAAAGGTCCCTGCTGATATCTTGCATAAGAAATGACCTGTCTGCTCTATCACAAAATAAACATAAATACTGAGTCTAACTTTGTCAAAGGATCTAGAGCCATTACAAATCTTACTTGAGGAGCTGGAGTAAGTTGTCAGGAGATTATTACTGTGTAAAAAGAATTTTATAGGTTACATGATTCTAATTAATCATTCACATCAATCTGAAACTTTAAATTTACATTTTTTAAAGAAAAAGTTGTAAATTTTCAAAGTAAAAAACATTCTCAATGCCTTTGCTTTTAGCAGAATCATTACACAACAAAGATATGCTAATTTCTGAAGTCTTTACCGAGGCAAATCCCCTGCACAGTTTACTGAGAGCTCTGTCTGCGTAAGACCTTTTAGATTTTGTCCATAGTCTTTGTTTCTAGGAGCAATGAGAAAAATACACAGACACTGCATTTTATTTTCGTTTTGCTCTCTACAAAAATGGATGTGGTTCCTGTCCAAATTTTGGTATATCCTGAGAGACAGTGTGGAAGATCTGTGCCATCCGTGCAGAACCTGGACAAAGTGGTTGAGGTACTTCCAGCCAGATCACCCACTAAAGCAATTCCTGTTCAGCGTGTCTTTGCATTTTTCCATTGGGGGATGTTGCAGAGGAGAAAATATTTTCTGTAACACTAGAAAGAGGTAACAATGCACTCCTCTTCAGGCATTACTCTGTCCACTCTCTCCTACCCCATGATCTTCAGTTTTTACACGAACTCATTATTATATGGTGAAATCCCAGCTGGACAGGTGATGGTGGGGAAGACGGTGCCAAAAATGGACCCCAGACCCCACCTGCATTCTTTCTATTCCATCAATCACAGGAATTTCAGCAGAGGCA